ATCACTGATTGATTTCCACCTCCATTTAGTCACCAGCCAGATGGGAAACATGTGTATCTCGGTAATGCAGGCACTGCTGCCCGATTTTTGACAACTGTCTGCTCACTTGTCAAATCTCAAGTTTCGAATCAAAGCTCAACAGTAATCACCGGAAATGCAAGGATGCAAGAACGTCCTATCGGGCCCCTCGTGGACACGCTCCGTACTAATGGGGTTCAGATTGATTATCTACGCAACGAAGGCTGCCTACCTCTCCGAATAAGTCCTGAAGATGGCTTCCCCGGTGGAATGATCGAATTAGCGGCCTCCGTGTCATCCCAATACGTTTCCTCGGTCTTGCTCTCAGCCCCTTTCGCCCAAGCTCCCGTGACGCTCTCTTTGGTTGGAGGTGCTGTGATCTCACAGCCATACATTGATATTACGATTTCCATGATGTCGACTTTTGGAATACAAGTGGAGCGTGTCAAAGATCCAGCTACTGGGCTTCCTTCAAACACTTATCGGATACCCAACGGTACTTACAAGAATCCCCCGGTTTACGAGATCGAGAGTGACGCAAGTAGTGCGACATACCCGCTGGCCATGGCCGCCTTGAATGGCCTCAGTATCACGTTGGAAACTATTGGCTCTGGATCCCTCCAAGGTGACGCTCAATTTGCCAAGAAGGTGCTGGAGCCTATGGGATGTCAGGTGATTCAGACGGAGAGAGAGACGAAGGTTATTGGACCCAGCGCCGTCTCCGAATTACGACAACTTGGGGAAATCGACATGGAGGAGATGACCGATGCTTTCCTGACTGCTTGCGTCGTACTTGGTGTTGCTGCTCAGCACTCGGAAAAAGAGCAAAGAATGTCCACCAGAATCATTGGAATTGCCAATCAGCGAGTCAAGGAATGTAATCGAATCGCAGCCATGGTGGCCGAATTAGGCAAGATGGGTATTCATGCTCAGGAGCTGGAAGATGGAATCGAGGTGTTTGGCACACCGGTCGATGCGCTAGCCAAACGTGGCGATCAAGTCCGTATAAACTGTTACGATGACCATCGAATCGCGATGGCTTTCAGTGTCCTGGGAACGGTCCCTGGTGGTAAAGGCTTGATCCTCAACGAAAAACGATGTGTCGAGAAAACGTGGCCCAGCTGGTGGGATGATCTTTCGACCAAACTGGGTATTCAGCTCGATGGACTCCCTGCTCAGGAGAAGCTAACAAATACAGCGTCGGCAGTTGCATGGGAAGCTAAGAAACCAGAAACCCCATCCATTGTGAGTCAAGAATATGATCTGTGTTTATTGTACAAGTTGACTAACCAGTTCGTCTGATTAATTCAATACTTAGCTCTTATGCGGAATGAGAGGATCGGGCAAATCTTTCTCAGGTCAAGTGGCGGCCAGCACTCTAGGCTGGCCGCTAATCGACACGGATTTGTACTTTCAAGAAAAGTGTGGCTGCTCGATTCGTGAGTTCATTCAAAAGAACGATTGGTCGCGCTTTCGAGAAGAAGAGTGCACGGTACTCGAAGAGATCTTGAAGGAGTTTCCTTCTTGTCACGTTATCTCACTCGGTGGAGGAATTGTTGAAACCGAGAAAGGGAGGAAGATGTTGATGAATTACGCAAACTCAAAAGGCCCGGTGGTTGAGATCATCAGACCGGTGGAAGAAGTGATTGCATACCTCAATGAAGATGGTAATCGACCCAGTCTTGGCGAATCGATCGAACAAATCTGGGCACGTCGAGAACCTTGGTATCGACTCTGCTCAAACTCAGAGTATTTCAACCTTGTTCACCCGGCCGTCGATCATGCGCTCATCTCAGAAGTTCAACACGCCAAGCGGGCCATGCAACAGTTCTTCCGGTTCATCACTGGCGTTGACACAAACCACGTCTTACTTGATCCACCAGTACCCCGGAACACCCACTTCCTTTGCCTCACATTCCCTTCCTTGAGCCCTTGTCGAGAAGAAGACAAGACCAGCCTTGACCGCTTCGAAGAGCTTACCATTGGATGTGATGCGGTAGAATTGAGGGTAGACCTTCTCTCGACATCTGGCAAAGCACCTACCAGCCCATCCATTCCGCCAACTGAATTTGTGGTCAAGCAAGTCGCGGCATTACGCAGACTAACCACTTTGCCAATCATCTATACGGTTCGGACGTGCTCGCAGGGTGGGATGTTTCCGGATGGCCAACCAGAGGAATGGTGTAAATTGGCTGCAATGGGTTTTAGAACTGGTTGTGAGTATGTCGACATTGAGTTGGGTCTTTCGCCGGAGCAACAGAAAGCACTGTGCAGCCAGAAGGGTCATTCGAAGATCATCGCCTCCTACCATGACTTTTCTGGTCGTTTGAAGTGGGACTCCAGCGAGATGATCCAGCGTTATCACGAGCTGAAGGCCTATGGCGATATGGTCAAGTTGGTCTCTCGGGCAGCCGATGGATTGGAAGATAACCTGGCCATGCTCGAGTTCAGGAAGAAACATGCGACTCTTCAAAAGGACCGACAGTCACTGATCACTATCAACATGGGAAGATCTGGACAGATGTCTCGGATTCTGTCTCCGGTTCTAAGTCCAACCACTCACCCATTACTGCCCGGTCCCCCAGCTGCACCTGGACAGCTATCCTTCCGCCAGATCCAAACGGCCCAGGGACTGTTGGGACAGATTATCCCAAAACAGTTTTGGTTATTTGGAGCTCCAATCGGCCAATCCCGCTCACCCTTGATCCATGGAACTGGTTTCGATACCCTTGGTCTTGAAGGTTACCGGTACCAGAAGTGTGAGACCAGCTCGGTGACTGACAGCACCGTCTTGGAGAAAATCCATGCGAGCGACTTTGGAGGGGCCTCGGTTACGATTCCTCTGAAGGTGGAGATTATCAAGTATCTCGATCAGTTAACACCCGATGCCCAAGCCGTTGGTGCAGTCAATACGATTGTTCCGGTCTCTCAGCGTGATGGGAAGATCAAGCTGCTAGGAGCTAATACCGATTGGGAAGCAATCAAGATGAAGATCGAGGCTAATCTACCGGCACAACAAGCCTTAGGATTGATCACTCCCGGTCAATTGGTCAGGGCAGCAGGCGTGGTCATTGGTGCGGGGGGCACAGCTCGCGCAGCAGTCTATGCCCTGCATTCACTTGGGTACGAGCAGATCTATATCCACAACCGGACACGGTCCAAAGCGGAAGAGGTTGCGCAGGCGTTCCCGAGTTATTTTGGGATCCGGGTGATCGACAGTCTTGGGTTCCTGTGTTCAGGGGAAGACGGGGTATGGCAACCTTCAGCGATCATCTCAGCTGTGCCGGCCCAGGCGACCCGTCTCTCAGACGACCCGCCCGCAGACAGACTCGAGATCCCCCATGGCCTCTTCGACAGACCCGGCGGTGGGGTGGTGATCGAGATGAGCTACGCCCTTGGGAAGGACTCGGCACTCTTGAGAGCCGTCCAGGATCTCGTCCGCTGGAAATCCGTCGATGGGCTCCAGGTCTTGGTCCAACAGGCCGCAAGACAGTTTCAGCTCTGGACTGGAAAACACCTCTCGATGAAGATCGTCTCTCAAGCTGTCTATCAGGAGGCTTCTTCGGATTAGCTTTCTTGCTTCCTCTACCTGCTCTGTTTCTTTGTTTTCTCATTCTTATGTTTTTTTCTCCTTTTCTTGCAAAAAAACAGCTTGTTGAAATTTTCTCTCTCTGCCCTTTTCGGTTTCCTTTTCTAATCACCGCAAATCGGACTATTTTTATCTTACAATACCAAGTAGCTTGATTTCAGTTGTTTTCTGAGTCAAATCTGAACCTTAAGTAAATAAGCTCAATAATGCAATTACTCTTGTCTCGACTGTAAATATTTCTCTTCTCTGGTTGAATGTCTGATATTAATAAAAAATTTATTATAATAAGAATTAACATCCCTTGTTATTTGTGATTTAAAACATGTTTTTTTCCTTTACTAACTCATTTAATATAACTACAAGACAATGAGAAGTTTGTCTAGTTTTTTTTTATTTTTTTTTCAAGAACTTGTTTTATCTTCTCTCAAATGTATTCAAAACAATTTTTTATTCATGTTTTCTTTCAACCACTTTTTGATCACTTGTATTTAGTCTACAAAAGCCTGCTTAAATACAGTGAATAAAAAGCATTGGTTGTTTTATTCATTCTTTTAAGTCTGTGAACCAACGCTGTCACAGATACGGTATCTGCCATGTATCTGCCATGTATCACTATGTATCTGAGCCCCAATAAAAAAAACCTATCTGACCAATCTGCTTTTATTTGCAAGGAGATTCAACAAATTTGGTTTTTGGCCATGCAGCTTTGCAGAATTCTCCATGATACATACAGTGTATCGTATCTGTGACAGCGTTGTGTGAACCCATCCCAAAAAGGAATTTCCTTCTTCAGCTTGGCCCTCTGCCTTTTAAACACAGCTTCTAGAAATAGAGAGTTTCTCCTTTTGCTTTGGTTATTTTCTTTTCTTTCTTCTCCATTTCTGTTAGGTATACAACTTCATATTGATCTTGAATGATTGGATGATTGGTTTGTTATGAATTTGATTGGTTGTTGTCCAAAAGCAACCACTCAATAATCTTAGAAGAAAAAGCTCAGTACATGCTATCAACATTTGAAACTTAGGATCAGAGTATGTCTTTGTGATTGATCATGTAATCGCAATATCTGTGCAGTGTTAATCCCAATTTAGAGTAAGAGACTATATGTTTGTTGTGCCAGATATATAAATATCACATACAGTTATTCAAAAAAAAAAATGAAATCGATCTATGAAAGACATGCATCAGTTTTGGGAGGCCTGTGTTCAGTTGAGAGACAAAGAGAAGAGACTGTGATTGAAGTTAGAACGATGGATTGAGTAGGTTGCTTGATCCCATCCCAGGCATGTCAGTAGAAGGCGGCTGCTTACAGAGCATGTTTGTGGTCAGCAATTAGATGTTGGATTCTTCTTCAGTTTTTTTTTTTTTTTTTTTTTTTTTACACTGGATTTTAAATGAAGAAAAGTGGCAAATTATGGGCTTGATATGTGTGGACATTACATAGACACACTCACTAAATCAATGAACATGATCTGACATTGATCACAAATTGAGTCTAGCTTCAGTGCGACTTCAATCCAACTACAATGGCCTCTTTGTGTGCTACAGGGGGATGAACTAAACTTGAGCTGGGTAAATAATGGGTAGCATGATGAACTTTGTCTGGTTTCACTTGTCATCAAATGAGCATTGTTTTTTCCTGGTGAATGTGATTTGCTGTCTCTATCTATGGCTCCACTCTTTTGCCAATGGCAGCAAAACAAGTGAGAAATATGCAGTTTGCTTGTTTGCTTGTGCAATTCAATTAGTCTTTGATGTCTATTCAATGATCAGGAAAAGGTTCTTAAAAGTTGTGCATGAACTTGCCCCTGGTGCTATGATAATTAAAATCAGTATTAGCCCCCACTTATCATGGTTAAATGCCAATGCTGATTGGAGTTGTGATCCTGTTTACTGCACCAGTTCATAGCTCATTTATTTGGTGTTTTAATCTATTTACTTTCAATAGGGCCTAAACACTGTACAGTGGCTGGACAGAAGTTTCCACCACAGTACTGCTTTAGACTTTAGAAACTTAACCTACCCTCTTAAAGTCATTTCTATTGGTTATATGTTTTGTTAGAAGCTTCCAAGAATGAAGATAATAGCAAAAAACAAAATTATAAAATTTTGTAAAAAAAGAGCTTCTGAAAAGCTGAAATGTTTCTTTCAGAGAAATGTGAATAGACAGAGTGTAACTGGCTGGGTGCAAACAACAATGGGTCGTTACAATCATTAGTTTCCTCAAATTTTTTTTGTACATAACATTATCCAGTTTGTCTTGGATTTATTTTCCATACTCATTACACTTATCAGCAACTTTGAAAAACCCCTAAATATTGGTATGTAAGACATGTGTGGCAATTTATGGTATGTGTTGCTGCCAAAGACCAAACAGAAAGGCTTTTTACCCCTTAGAATGTGTGTAGGGTTGCTTAACCTCTGGATAATGAGATAATGCATTACTTTATCTAATCACTACAGACAAAAACCTAATCATCACTCTATTGACTGAGAGAAAGACTTCCCACTACAGATAATGTTAATCTTTCAGGGAAGGAATCAGGTTTACTGCACAATTGGTATAATGCTGATAATGCAGTGTCAAGTAGCAATCCAGTGTTAGCACAAAGCACTCCCTTCTGCAGGCGGGACTTGCATGCCAAAGTACTTTGCTGGTGTGAGACATAAACACAGTTTTGGTGGTAGAAACCGTATTTTCCCCACCACTTATTCATTATAGCTCATTTTTTTGGTTCTAGGAGATAAAAGATCTACATGATCTTGATTTTTTGCATTTTTCTTATTGCAAAACTTGTTTGATTCTGACAGAAAGCTTTCAATCAAGTTCATGGTTTTTAATTTTGGATTGCAAATTTGGCAGAGTGGCTTGAGCTCAATCTCAGTATAAGTATATTTTGTGCTTGCAAAATGAGTATTTCCATCTCCTGTTTGTTTATTTTTTTTTTAAAAAAAGATTGGTATGGAAATACAAACAGATAAAAATACAGAAAAATCAGCAAGAAGCCAGAGACTAAGAAAAAAACAGCACAATCAAATTTTGAGAAAAATTACATGAAAGCCAGAGTTACCAGTACAAAAACAGGCCTCTAAATCCAGTCTTTCTCAGGCCAACTTTGTGTTATCATGCATGAGCCTCTCTGGTGAGACTGGGCTGCCACCCAAACCTGCCTGCAGACACTCTCCCAATGAGGGACTTGGTTAAGCTTGCCAGTTTACAGTGCCAGAATACCATCACTACAAAAAATGTTGAATCACATTTGCTGAATGCAAGGAAACATTGCATGTCACATGCAATGCCACCTTGCATTTGCAAGATGTGATTGATTTTTTGGCACTACAAATTCAATTGCATTTGGCAAATGCAAGGTGACATTGCATGTGACATGTGATATTTCCACGCATTTGGAACATGTGATTCTACATTTTTTGTAGTGCATCTGAGCAGATGAATGCGCCACTCAACACATGTTTTGAAAATTTAAACCATTATATCAAAGTCATTTTTATCAGCATTTTAACTTATCATCATCATTTCACATCTCATACTGTCATTCCTCAGCTAGAAAATATTTTTACAAATTTCAAAACTTTTTTGATGTGTATAATTTTTTTCACATTCTTCCTTGGCAGCCTATTAAGAGCCATTTCACCAGTCTTGATGACTTGAAGTGGGTGGGCTTAGATGCTAGAGTTCAAAATCAGTGTGGTGGACACTTCTGTCTAGCCACTGCACATATATCTCTGCACCAATGATAACTCCCTATCATAAACCCAGATTTCACAAATTTTCCAGAATCTTGCTAATCAGGTGCACTGGAATTTATTGATAAGCTAAAGCGGGACTGAGATCAGCGGGCACGAGGTGGGGTGAGTGGCCGTGGTTTGTGGAAGGATGAGTATATCATTTCACACTATCACTAAGAGAGAAAGGAACAAAGGAAAGGAAAACCATACCTGAGATCAGCGGGCACGAGGTGGGGTGAGTGGCCGTGGTTTGTGGAAGGATGAGGAAAGGATCCTTCCACACCCGCTGTCTCAGGTACACTACATAACATGTGAAATGTGAGTGAAAGCTGAGAGACATGTATAAAGCAGAGAAAAGAACAACTGAGATGAATATGCATAGCTCAACACCCCCCCTTGCTGCATACATGGAAAGGAAAAAAAAGAGAGAAAGAGAGAGAAAAAAAAGAAGAGTAGAGATGGGAGAGAAGGAAAAGAAAAAAAAGGAAAAGAGAGAATAGATTAGTTGAAAAGTAGACAAAAGAGAAATAGAAGAAGAAAGAAAAAAAAAATCAGGGGACTATTCCAAAGAGTGTACGATGTTTTTCCAAAGCTACTCTGGAAAGAGGTTTGGTCAACATATCCGCCAGCATGTCCTTGGTTGAGACATGTAATAGAGAGATGTCGCCCTCTTGAACGCACTCTCTTATGAAATGGTATCTGGCGTGGATGTGTTTGGTTCTGGCATGATGCTCCGGATTCTTTGCCAGTGCTTCAGCACCTTCATTGTCGACATGTAGAGGTATTGCAGTGTTGGGTCGAAGACGCAGTTCCGTCAGGAGGTGTTGAAGCCAGAGGCCTTCCTTACAGGAGTCCGATAGAGCTTTGTATTCGGCCTCCGTGCTGGAAAGAGAAACGGTAGCTTGCTTTCGGGATTTCCAGGATATGGCTCCGTCACCGATGCGATAGGTGTAGGCGGAGGTGGAACGTCTGTCATCGCGGTCTTCAGCCCAGTCGGAATCAG